AAAAATAGAAATTGTCTGTAGTTATCAATGAGAGTATTTGAAAAATATGAAAATGTAAAGTTGGTTGTTATCATTTGTCATTCATAAGAAGAAAGCAGGAAAGAATTTTTGAAAAAGGTAAGTAAAGAAGTACAAAAAATGAAATGTTATGAACAAGTGGTGCATGCATAAATAGTGGTAGAATATGTGAAAAAATAGACAAACGTGTTGTCCATTTACAAAAAGTAAGGACGGTGGAAGTACAGAATACTGTTTACGTGAGGAGCAAATACAGTAAAAAAATATTATGCATATAATATATACATACATATATACATACGTACTGTACCTACAAGTGCATGTGTGTACATATATGAAAAGATAAAGATAAAAGGCCTGCTTCGGCAACGTTGAAATGTATATGTTTTTTCTAAAGATTCGCCAACTTTATTTGTTTGGCACCTTTCAAATTTTCGATGAGGTACCTAGGTATCTCTTTAAAAGTAGCGCATATACATCCACACGTAGCTATGTATGCATACGTACTTAAAAACGATAACAGATAAAGGTACCTGATAATTACCCGAAAACAAATAAATCACATATGTATAGGTACCTATTATGCTGTTATTTTATTAAAAGTGTGTTTATGAACAAAATGAAGTTATGCAAAAGTAAATAAGCGGGCACTTTCGTTTCTTATGTTAAGGTCATTTCTAAAAAAAAAAAAAACAAAATCGGTACAATTCGATAGACGATACCGGGAAAAATGTGTTAGTAGTCTCATACATTTTTTGCATTATAAACATAAAATGGGCAAAGTCAGAAGGAAGGCTGATGGAACATTGTTAATATCTTATACTGCAAAGTAGAATTGAACTCATACTTGTTAGGTAAATGCTCCAGTCTGGCAATTGTTATTGATATACGAGTTTCTTTGAAATATGTACACTGCAATAGTTGACAAAATGGAAGTTATCGAAACACCAGTAAAACTTGCATTCAATATTTTCCGTAACAGTCGAATATGAAAAGGAAGAAATGAATACTGTTTTAACATCTAATTACATGAGAAGAAGTAGTACATAAATTGTACGGTTCAACAGTAATTGAAAAAATTGTAATTGCCTTGTCGAAAAAGCGTAAAATGCAATTTAGACTTATGCTATATTTGTTGGTATTATGCTTTTATCAGAAACGTTGTTCATTGAAGAAAAATTGAAATAGTTTTGTTTTTTGTATGAGATGTCCAACATACACGTATGATGTGTTTGTATATNATAGTACAACATCCGTCTGCTCTACCGATAACCAATCGCGACTTCAACATTGCTGCGAAAATAAATTGTCATGGTCTTTTATTACCATCAACAATAAGATGCATCGTCGCTGGACCTTCAAACTGTGGAAAAACAAATGTGATTATAAGACTTTTGGAGCAACCAAACGGTTTACGATTTGAAAACGTTTATGTTTATTCAAAGTCGCTATATCAACCAAAATATAAATATTTAAATGAATTATTACAACCAATTGATGGAATTGGTTATTTTCCCTTTAGAAATTCTGATGAAGTAATAGGTCCATCACAGGCGAAACCTAATTCTGTATTCATCTTTGATGATGTTGCGAATGACAATCAGAATTAGATAAGAGAATATTTTAGTATGGGAAGGCATAACTCAATCGATACTTTTTATTTAAATCAAACGTATGCTGATATATTCTAATAACTTAATAATCATTAGTACTTTCAATAACCTTCACGAACCATATAAAAACTAAGAATTAGGCAAATTAGGTTATTCTTAATATTACTGTTACTTGCCCTGTATTCAGGCCATTTTAATAAAATATTTTCAAACTCATCCCTTTTGAAATTGTTACGGTATTGTTTTCAACAATTAAGTGCTGTTGAAATTCAAAAGTGCAATCGTTCAATTATTCAAGAAATCTTGTGCTTTACATTTAAAGATAGCATTCTGGTGTTTGAGTGCATAATTTCTGTTGAATAATAATAATAAGTGAACGCCCAGTTATTCGTTACTGAGTTAACAACAACGACAATTACGCCGACCAGCCGAAGTATTAGAACCATCTTCAGTGTCGTGACGTAACAATGCTCAGATCCCTAAACATTTAATCAGAGATAATGCTAATTTAATAATACTGTTTAAACAAGACGAATTAAATCTGAAACACGTTTTTTCCTTCCATGTTACTGCAGATATGACTTTTGACCAATTTAAAAGTATATGTGGAGAATGTTGGAAAGAAAAATTTGGATTTGTAGTTATTAAAACGGATTGTGGTATAAATGACGGGAGATATCGCATAGGATTCGATAAATATATATTACTGTAGGTAATATAAATGAAATCACTTGTTAAAAGACAACCATAACAACAGCATGGATGTGAAAACAAAGAAAGAACTAATCAAAGTTAGGAAAGCAGTAAATAGGAAACTCCAAATGTTAGAGGAATCGATGGTAGGACAGAATCTTCTATTACAACAAGCTTATCAACCACTTACAAAATCGCTTCTTCACTTGAAATCTGAGTTGGGTGAAGAGATTAAAAAGGAATTAAAACCAGAGGTTGTTAATTGGTCGAAAGTTGATATTCCAGCATCATCAACTCCAACAAAAATTAGAAAACTTGATCCTTCGAATGCTCCAGCTACCATACTTCAAGGTCCTCCTTCCTTCTTAAGGGAAGAAAGTGTATATGAAGTTGACCCAAGAAGGGATGACAGTGAGTTCGAACAATTAAAAAAAGCATATATAGATTATATCAATAGCTCTCGATTTGGAGAATATTTGGAGGAATTCGATCCTCTACCTCGTGACTATATAGAAGTAATTATTAAAGACTATGAAGGTGATAGATTTAACACTGACGTTGTGAATCCCCGTCTTGACAAAGTTCGATACGAATGGGACACAAATAAATTTTTTATCGGTGATTCTGAAATAGATTTTGATGGATCAGACGTCGTAATCGATGGAAAATTTAAATACACAGGTACTGTGGNGGAATGTCTGACGTGAAAGAGGAAGTTGTGAAAGAACTGCATAAACCTGCAAGAATTAATTTCTCACGCCGTAAGGTAGTTGTTAAAGGATTGGATGATCTACATCAAGCCGATTTAGTTGAAATGATTCCGTATGCGAGAGAAAATAAAGGTTTCCGATATATTTTAGTTATAATAGACGTTTTCTCAAAATTTGTATGGGCTCAAGCAGTAAAACGGAAAACAGGTGAATATGTCGGAAGAGCTTTACAGTTAATTTTCAAAAGAAATAAACGTATTCCTAAGAATATGCAAACTGACCTAGGAAAAGAATTTTATAACGAACAAGTGAAGAAAGTAATGCAGAAACATAAAATTAACCATTATTCAACGTATAGCACAAAGAAAGCATCAGTTGTGGAACGGGTAAATAGAACGCTAAAATCAAAAATGTGGCAGCGCTTCAGTTTACAAGGATCCTACAAATGGTTGAATATATTACAAGATATAGTAAGTGAATACAACAATAAGATTCACAGAACCATCGGAATGAAACCAAGCAAAGTCAATAGACGAAATGAAGAAACACTTTTGAAAAGTATTTACAACAATCCGAAAAAGGTGGATTTACGAAGAATTCAGTTTAAAGTGGGGGACCGGGTACGAATAAGTAAATAAGGTGATATGGTTTACGTGAAATGGTTAGGACTCGACCAATCTCACAACAGCTGGATCCATAAAAGAAACGCTTTGTGATATAGTCATAGATTTTTGTATTAATAAATGGTAAAACGTTTACGAATTTTTATACCCCCTCCTCAAAGTGTGATTATTAATAACATTAAACATGGTGAATGTAGCCAATTGAGGTCGTTAGTTACCGCACTGAAAGTTAAAGACGTAATAATGGTAGAGAGTTATGTAATTGAAGTTCAATTTTTCAAAGACGGTTTATTGTTTGAGAGAAAACATTTGGTAGCGTCAGAGTTGGAGAACGTTGTACAAGAATTTGAGTTAAAAGGTGGATACGATAAACTTGTAATAACAGGTTATTTAGTAAACGAAGAGAGCGAGCCTGACGATTTAGAAATAGAATTTATATAAAAAATGGATTCCTTATCCTACGAGTTGTATCAAGCAGAAAGACAAACTCTCGTTATCAATTTACGAAGAGCAATACTATCCGATGATTTAGATCGAGTGAAAGTTGTGTGTTCAAAGTTGGGTGTTGAAGTACCAAAGGAGGTATTCAAGTGGTTAACAATGTCGCAAGAGGTATCGTTTGATATTTTGTATTTCATATTCGAAATAAAACGACGGTGTGATACATTCGTAAGTGATTTTTTAAAAGCATGTGGTGAAAAAGTGGAGATAACCGGTGATGATGTCCAAGACATTTTAAATGAAACAAATAGTAATTACACGAGAAACGATGTATATTTTCTAAAGGAAATGTTGACAAACGGATCGGTTCTGGTGAAGAACAAAAGATTTTCCATCGTTAACGTAAAGAAAACGTATAGAACACTACTAAAGTGTGTAGATGATTTAATAATGGATGTAGCATACTACGCGCAACCGAAATATTTGGAAAAGTGTATTAAGCTAATAAATTTGTTCCGGCTTCCATATACTTTAAGTCCGAACATTAACGGTCGTCATCAGACAGTGGTGAGTTGGATAGAAGAAAACATTTTACGAGAAGGAACGGAAAAGGCTCCAGGCTGGCAAAGCGGTCCCGACTCAGGCAAATGGCCATCAACTAATATGGAAGATTATAAAAAAATATACTCATTATTAATGTTAATAACTCAATAAATTGTAACAGCAGAAACATTCCGTGTTTTGTTTCAACGTTCAGAGAGATAATTCAATTTATAAAGTTAGTTAAAAACAAAGCCGTATCGTATCGTTTATTTAAGCACATGAGAGTATAGAAACAATAGTAATGATAAACGTTTGAAATATAATATTGAAGCATTATTTACATATACACATATAGCCTATACACTTATTGTTATGTAAGGTTTTCGTAAATATTATCAATAGATTCTTCTGGAAGTGAAGAAGCTTCAAAAAGTTTTTGAATAAAATATTCCCCAACCGTTAAATTGTCTGTGTGCGGTTGATTAAAATTTTGGATTAATTGATCAATTTTGCTGTTCAACTTTGAGACAGAATGTTCAGAGTTTTTTATATTGTAATGTCCCCACGGAAGCGTATTAGTTGTTTTCGGAATCAAGAAACGTTTATCGTCTTTAGGGCAAAGAGCTACTTTAGTTTTCATTTGAGTGAACATAGTATGAAGGTCAGAAACAAAAACATTCATACATTTTATAATGGTGGAATCGTCCCTAATAACGCGAAGGTAATCGTCAATTTCGAGATGTAATTTAATAACGTTTTTCTTAACACCTTTAGCTTTTTTAACAATTTGATCAATCGCTTCAACACAGTAAGCTTTAGCTCCGGTTCCATAAAATGCCTTAATAGGATTATTAGGGAACTCATCTTTGAATTTACCGATAACAGATGAGGTAATGGGGATATTGAAACTATTCTCGCGCGGATAATTGGAAGTATCGAAGTGATTAATATTTTCAGTAATGTCTCGGTAAAAGTTTTCAGTGAACACTTTCAAAATGAAGGAATCGGTATCCATGTACATCAAGGAAATGTTGTGTTGATATTTTCGTTTAAGAAAGGTATAGTAGAAGTCGTACATAACAACTTTTGATAAATCTAAGATAGTAAAACCAACGTAGAGAGGTTTATCGTAAATAATACGTAATTTATTCATCTGAATGGCTACGAAATTGGGAGTGAATATCTTAGAATTTTTGAAATTAGGTTTAGCTATTAAACTTTCCGCACCAAGAAAGCGTCCAGAATTTTGCCAATGAGTGACTAATTTTACATCAACTCGTTTATCAACGTTCTCCATTGTTTTTCCGAAAACACTATTGTTCATTAATTTGAAGAAGGATTTCCCAAATTTATTTTCAGACAAATTACGTTGTCGGGTATTTAAATCGATGAAAGGTTTAAGCCAGTGGGACTGTTTAAACTGGATAACTCTGTGAACTTTAAGTAATCGTAGTCCATTACGAAGGGCTTGTTGAAGCGTAAGATAATGAAGAACATATTTTGTCTTATTCATAAGGTTCGGTATCAGTTTTTTGACTTTACCATTCACATTAGCAGGAGAGATAATGTTTTCAACTAAAAAAGGGAGATCAGCATGTAAATCATGGAGGTGTTGGGGATATTCAACATCTACTTCAAGTACGTAACCGTATTCAGAAGAAGCATGTAAAGAGAGAACATTCAATTCATCAATTTCGGCTTGGGTTAGCCAACGGAAGTGGGAAATAGGAAGTGCTTGACTCATACTATGTCCATACAAATTAGTAGCATCCAAATACATAATGTAGGAGGTAGGCGCGGACGCGTTGTAATCGGGAATGTGAGGGTTGTTAGCGAAGTGCATTCTTTGAACGCATTGACTTATTCCTCCACGTACCCCTTTTTGAAAAAATTTTAACATATCGATATCAGTCAGAAGTTGTAAACTAACGCGAGTGAATTTTAACATACTATCCCACGCAAGCCCTGGCGCTGTGTAATACTGAGCAGGATCTAAGTCGTAAGTGGTGAGACATATTTGTCGGAAATTCTCGAAAACATCAGCTAGCAAAAGAACATCTGTTTTCAAGTAGATATCGGAGTATTCTCCTAGAGTTGAACATGAAAAAGTATTCCAAACAGTTTTAGCTCTTTTGTAATCGTCATCGGAAACGGGGAGGGAAGTCAATTTATCGAAGAAATCGTCTTTCTGTGGAAATGTTGTTTCATCAAGCTTAGCAACATCATCAACGTAGGAATAAGGGAAAACACCTTTTCGTCGCATAAGTTGAAAGTGATTAGGATCGGGAAAGTATTTTTTCACTTGCAAACATTGATGAGCATCAAGTTCATCCGACAGCTTGTCGAGGGAGGAAGCCATGAAACGATAGGAATCGAGAAATCTAATCTTCACGAACACATTTTGTGTTGAGTCGTCTGTTTCAGTTTGAACCGTATCAACTCGTAATAATTTGGAAAAGGATATGTATTTTTCTTTATTTTGAGCTATTACGGTAAATTTAACATCGTTCACAGCCATTTCCTTTAGAAACAAGTGGCAATCATATCCGGAGAGGTTGTGGAAAAAAACAGGTACAAAGTTGGGTAGTTTGTAATTTAAATTACATCTGGAGTGAGCAGCTCCTAATCGAACTTTACCGGTCAAATGACAATGATCATGCACCTTGACGTCATCGTCCAGAAAGGGTTCTTCGCAAATATTGCAAGAGGTAGCGTCAGAGAAGAGACGTATTTCTTCATCTGTCAGGGGTATCATGGGAGAAACGATCTTCAAATATCGATGATAAATATCAGAAACATCTCGATCGAGAGTTGTAACGAATTGATTGGCGCAATCGGGGCCTCGATACGATCTGAATTTCGAGAGGGAATCATCGAAGGAGCACTTCATCAAATAAGCAAAGGAATGAGGTTGATGTTTGTGGGTGGATGTGGTGGCAGTCTTATTAGGGTCATGAAAACATGTGTGAATTGGTCGCAGTACGGTTTCAAAGTCTGCGTATACAACAAATGGTACTTTGATACGTTTCTGATAATTTTCAAATTTTAAAATGTGATTGGGGACAAACCTACCCATCTTATCCATCTTGAAATCACCGTTGGGAAGGCTGGTGTAGACATGATTACAGTCATGCTGCTGATGACGATGTAGGTGAGGTAAAGTGGAGAAGTATTGTAGGCAACCGTCGCATAAGAATTTGCGATGTCCAGTTTTAGAAAGTTGTTGAGAAAGTAAACGGGACATGTCCTTTATCCAACAGTAATGATTATTTCCTAGATCATCATCGAGCAAGAGCAGATTGAAGTGTAGCCGTCGCTTGATGGGTGAGTAGTAAAGGGGGCCAACGATTTCCCATGTCCACTTTCCATCTTTCAAAACGGATTCAGTCCCGTAGACATTCACAGAGCAGTGGTTCTTCGATTCAAATTTCGGTATGTCAGTTAATTTCATAGGAAATTGGATACCGTCGTAGTCCAAAGTGCGGGAGTAATGTGGATAGGAAGTAGTTCTTTGCGGGTTCGCTTGTGCGGGATACAGAGCTGACGTAATTGCCCATGCGAAGCAGGCGTGATCGTCGTTTCGCACATTCACAACCGCTTTCTTGAATAAAATTTGTTTCGGTAACGGAATGTAGGAAGACGCTCTCAGCGGATTGTACTTGTTAAAGTTGATTTCAAGGAAAAGAACCCTTTCTAAAATCCATCCTGTAGAAATGGGGAAATGTTAAATGAAATGAAACGTATACTAAAGAAGGATGAGTTACCTGACTCTCGTTCTTGAAATTCTGACGCTTTAGCCTCAAGTATCTCAAAGAAGTTTTGTAGAAGATTGGGAAGATCGATGGATCGAGTCACAACTTTGTTGTTGGTGTTGAAGGATTTAATTTCAACCAACTGTTTGGTTTCGTGCACGTAACGTCCAAAAACTTCGAGATTTATTTTAAGCGTGTCGTGGAGGTGGATCTGATTACGTATAACACGCACGCATTTGTCGAGAACATCGGTGAAGAAGTCGTTATACGATAGAAGGTATTTTGCAGACGTAATACGAAACGAAGCAATCCTGCTAGCGAGAGCAGAGGAAAGGAAACCGATTTCCTTCTCAAGAGGTGAACAACAATTTTGTATATGCTGTATGGTGCGCAGGTGACCGTTGTACGAAGATTGAGGAACATATATTTTGCACGTTTCACACCAGCGGAAGGAAGAGGTGGCAGAAGCAGCATATTTCGGTATCGGGTAGCGAGGAATTAGGATGGTACTGTAATCGTTTACGACACGAAGGTTTTTAATGTCGTTTTAAATTGTCAGATCGTGTAAAGGACGTATCGAAGTCCGGACAACGAATCATATCGGTTAGGTGTAACAGAGGTGTCTCGAGAAAGACTGAGGAAGACCGTGTGCGAAGTAGATTATAACAACGTAAGAAAATGTGAGAGGGAGAAAATGAGGAAGGTGAGGGCTGTTAGGTGGGTGGGGAGGGAGAAAATGAGGAAGGTGGGTGCTGTTAGGGGGGTGGGGTGAAGATATTTAAGAGACATGTATAGAGGAAAAGATTAAGTGAAATGGCTGAATTGGGACAGTGTGATGCGACAGATGCGTCAGTAATTAGCTTGGACGAATCGGAGCTGTCAGCGATGCTGGAGGAGTTTTTCCACAACGATGAGTTGGTGACGAAGACAGTCGGTGGAGGAAAATCATGTGTAGGAGATGTAGGTACGGAAAGGATAGCAGTACCTGTGGCTAGTACATCGCGGACGCCGGTAGGGGGCGGTAAATCCGTAAGTATGAAGCCTACGAAGCGGACATACAATAGAAGAGTGTCGGGCGGTCCGTTGGATTATTCAAAGTTGGTGGAGCAGGTGCGAGAAGCAGTGAAGACACTTCAACGGGAAGGTGAAATAAAGGGCCATGACATGAAGGACGCTTCAGTTTTGGAACAGATAAAGCGGAAAGAGAAAGAGTTGGAGGATCTGAAGAAAAGTCGTGAAAGCAGCTGTAGAATGGTGGTGGAAGGTTGAAAGAGAGTGGAAGAGGTGGAGCAGAAGTTAAATGAATTGCAAACACAATTGTTGAACATATTTAATTAATATTGTAAATATAGTAATATAAAATAAATGATTGTATTGTAAGATGATTTTATTTAATAATTTTCTCTTGGAGGAATGATGATGTGTAACTCATTTATATATATCTGTGATTGAAGAAATATTGTTGTTCAATACTTTCAAGATGACTGTATTGTAGATGTATGGAAAAGTAAAAAGAAGATGTAGTTGTTATAAAGTTTATTATATATAAGTTACACATATATTA